TTTTGCATGCAATCGAAAAAGTGAAAAGCATTTGCCGTTTAACGTTATTATAGCGTGTCTGCATGTGGATTATATATATTATATTATATATATATAGATATTTTTCTTGTAGAATGTACTATAAGTTAAGCTTGAGCTACGCGACACTTGAACCGATTTTCGAACAATTTGATTTGTCTACACTTGACTGGAAATTTAACGGACCAAGTCACGCACAGATTCTAAGCGGCTTTTGCTGGCATTTATTTTCTGTAGCGGCCAACGCGTCGTATGCGCAATTGTAATCGCGTAGAATGCGCTCAAATATGATTTACACGTTAGCAAAATTATTTTATTGTTATTATTTTTTTTTATTATTATTATTGTCATAAATATTATCAATTTTTTTTTTTTTTTTTTTGGCAACAAACGCACCTTGAAAGCGATTGTCGTTGATGTTGTTACTGTTTGTCCGCTGCGTTACCGTAAAACGCCAAAACGTAACTGAAACTGAACCTGAACCAACTTCAACACTGACGAGCACCTCTGAAGTCGTCCGGCTGTCGACGTCGACGTCGACTCTGTTGTCGCTTTTATAATACGCAGCACCCATTGAAGCAGAGCAAATAGGGTATCATGATTTTGCTGAAACATGGACACGAAATCAGGACATCAGTCCAACTATATAATAGMACCATACATTTGTCTGTCTGTCAGATCTATAATTTTTTCTCAGTTTGTGGAAACTTACTTTACCCGAATATTACACTCCGACCGAACATATTTCGAATCATCACTAATTCATTTCAATAAATGTTCATATCGTAAGCCCGGTTTTTGAGGCAATCCCACACTTCTGAAGAGCTCGAATCATCGAAATTTGGTATGCATATACTATTGTAAGGTATCAAAGCTAGGTAAGCTTATATTATATTGTATTCCATATATATAGTATATTCAAATACAACTTATTGGATTCATTGGATTCTTTACAAGGTCCACATGGTATATAGGGTATGTTCTAGTCGGTCACTTCCGCTTTGAGCACTTTTAGTTGCTATTGCTTCTGTGTTTGTTGGCTCGGTTATCGCGTAAAGTGCTCGTGCGCATAGCTGCCGCAAAATAAATATATGTATATAAAAATAAAAATAAAAAAAAACACCGCGAAATAAAAGAAAAAAATACCTGAGCAACAAACGTGTAAAGTTGACGCAGTTAATAGCTAAACAAATGCCCTACAGGCGCGACCCACAACTGCGTGAAAGGTAAACCGAAATCCAAAGACATTTCCCTTTAGCCGAAAAATTGTTCGCTTTTCGTTTTTCACTTTTAATTGTTGCACAAATTATGCATAATTTCTAAGACGGGCCAAAATGACTGGCATTTCCGACACTTGTTGTTAGCCAAAATGGAAAAGTTAAACAAATATCGAAGACCTCAACGCTTCAGCTGGTTCACACGTGTACCGAGCACGTGATCAGCTGATCACGTCAACAGACCCAGTTTCAAATGCGTATTAGCTGGACTTGTTCATATAGACCTTTATCTCATTATACAACCCTGCCTGAATCACTCTCGATTTAGTAAGCCTTTCGACTTAGTGATATAATCGTATGTACATACATATAGCGTAATATGGGTCAGAGATATTGCAGCTCTCAATTGTTTCAAACGTTGCAATTACGGTTCGTATGATTATATAGATTTATAAATGTGCGTCAAGCATTGCTAGCAAGAGTTATTTACTAGCAAATATTTAGAGAGTTTTTCAAACAAACAATAACATTTACGAGTACGAATCGCTTATCATTCGAAAACAACAAAAATACATGGGAAAAGTGTAAAATATTCTACTTTAAATGGTGTAAGGCATGAGATAACGTATATTAGTCACTCACATGATGAATGCTATTAGTGAAAAGACTAGTATTATAATAACTGATATGAAGAGCTCAAAGTGTTCATCAGATAATAAATAGTACTCAAAAATAGACAAGTATATTTTGCAAAAATGAAATGAAAAGTATAAGATAAAAGTCTTATTAGAACATTTCTATAAGGCTGTGAATATTTTAATCTTCCACATGATTTATCGGATAGCAAAAAAAAATTAATATATTTAAAAATTCAATATTTAGATCGGATTAAATTCCTGAAAACAATACAAAATTTTGAAAAAAATTTTTATTTTAGGACTTTCTACACTTTATATTTATTTGCTGTGCTCCTCAAGAAGAAGTTTGCAGTAAAAGTTTTAGTTCTATAATGCCACAGATAATGTGATGGATTTGCTAAATCATACTACCTATCACCTATAGACATATACATAATATTTGGCAAATCTATATGCTCATCAGCCACTTAGATTTAGATAACTTTATTTCTTGCTCTAAAAGTGTAAGGGATATCATTTTTCCCATGGACCACGCCTCAGTATAAACTTACAAAAAATTTTGTTTACATCTTTATAATACAAAAAAGTTCAGTCAGGGATTCTACTATTCTTGAGGATGTCAAGCGCAACTTCATTATAAAATTTTAKTTTAATTTATCTATTTAATCTATATAATCTAGATAGTATGTATATTATATAGTATTTATTAGACGAGGGCTGCCTACGCAAATATATATTTAGAATTTGAAGTGCTCAGCAGCAATTGTGTCAATTTGTAAAGGATCTCAAAGGTAACTCAAGCGTCAAATTAATATCTCTCGCACACTAAATAAGAGCGTATCTTCTTATGCCAGAATTAGAATTTTCTGACTTACCACGTCGAGCGTATCTGGAAAATCGGAACATCTTTATGAGAAGGGGTTTTATAACAATAAAGTTCCTATGAAATAAAGTTTTCTTAAGTATTTTTTAGAATCAATCAACTTTTTTTCTTGAAAGCCGATAGTAGTACAAATACCAAAACCAATTACAAATATGAATGTAATCACATAGTTAGGTTTACGGAGTCCCATCTACATAAAAAACTTGTTGAACCACTTTTAAATAGAAGCTTGATATCTTCAAATAGAATATAATATAAAAGGAATAAAAAATTTAACAATCTTTCCTAATAAACCTTCTAGTATACAATAAAAACAAAAAACAAAAAGGATCCAAGTGAAATAAATATAAGTTTTAATAAAATAAACCTTAAACATTACAATTTTATTTTAATATTTTCTATTGATTCGAAAATTGGAAGATTAGCAGTTTCATATTTTGTTCACATAAAATATTAGCACGATACGCCAGTTAAGGTAATTCAACAAATAAGAGAGATAATAACACTCTTATAATACACTCCCCGAAAAATTTCAACTGCAGGAGCATGCAAAACGTAATGAGCAAAAACAAAATGCCAAGAGCTATGTAAGCGAGCTATTACCGCACGAAATTCCCCACTAAGAACGTTGCTAATCCGGTATTTCAGTTTCAGCTGTTGTCGTCTTTTCATTTCGTGGAATAGCAGTACCATCACGTTCCCATTGCCCGCATGAACGTGGCCAAGCAATTGGTGCACGCCAGCAACAGCAACAGCAACAACAACAACAAATATTGTTAACAGGCGCTTCTCGTATCGATTTGATAAGTGTATTTATTTATTTTTTTTTTTTTTTTTTTTTTTTTGTCTTTGCGATTGGCAGCAGCAATTTTGGTCTGGTGTTTTGTGTTTTTATACTTTGATTGTTTCAAATGATATGGGCCGTGGAAGCGAGAGAGTGTTTGACTTTTACACGCTACGATTTTTGACGGCTCCTAATGCGGGCGTCGGCTTCCGCTGCCGCCAATATACATACAAATAAATAATAATAATAATTTACAAGCAACACTTAACGCGTTGGCCATGAAATTGTGGCCAAGGCGCTGGGTTGGGTACAAATAAAAGCCGTTTGACTTGGTTCACCAAGTGCAAACTGGAGGAGGCAGAGGCGAAGGCGTGGCCCACTATAGTTCGTCTGCGATAAACGGTACTCATATCTCTCACAGAGGTAAACTGGTATGTGTAAGCCTTTCGACCCGTTTTTTGTAGTAATAATAAGACTCCGTTTTTTTTTTCTGTCTCTCTCTCTCTCTCTTTTTGCTTAGAACCCAAGCCAGTTTTGTATGTTATGTGTTAATAGCTGGTTTGCTGAATATTAGCGGTTAATTCAATATTGGCACATCGTTACAGCTGAAATTTACTAATGTGCTTTGACTTTCAAACTATCTGTATGCAAACATATGTAGATATTTGCCCGGTTGAATTTGGCTAATTGGCAGTGGAAAAAAAACAGTGAAAGAGGCGCCGAAATGGATCGCGCTGGAAGTTAAGCCGCCATTCCAATCAACCTTAACAAAGAAATTTCAATTTGCTTAAAGGCAGACGAAAAATGTGTTTATCATATATGGAACTTATATTGGTCCAGATAGCGACACGTCGCTTCAGCTTTTCGAATTGTATCAATTTATTGCAAGAGCCAAACGAAGAACAAAACCAAACCAAGCCAAACGAAATACACACGCACGCAATTCTGTCTAATTCCACATATATGTTAAGAAATGCCGACAGCAGAAAGCATTTTTGATTGGCTTAATTATGCACAATAAATACAGTTCGTCCACACATACATATGTGTGTGTGATATGTTATGTCCGATATCATATTTTGCAGCTTTCTTTTCTCATATGGTAAATTGTTGGGCGCTGCCAATTAAAATAGAAATTGTTGACCTACCAAAAAAATGTTTATAGCGCGCTTACTGCATTTGCATAATAAATTACTACAAATGTTGCTGCAAACAAACACCGAAAACGTAACACAGTATTTCGTCGGCGTAGTTGTTACTGCAAATCACACGCGTTTTGTTCAATAGAGGACAGAATAACTTTCGAAATACACACGACTTTTAAATTGTTAAAGCGCAAAAACGCTCTGCACAGGCGCATAACGTGTTTTAAACTGAGCGCAAAGTCGGAGTCGATCGGTCAACATCGCGCGCACTCAGCGCCAACAGCTTTAAAAACAACAACGACAACAACAACGACAACAACAACAACAGCAACTACACAGCACAAAAGCCACAATAGGTAGCTTTAGTGAATGAAAGTGTATTTTTTTCGACTCAGCTGTCTCTATTATTGTTACAATGACAATGTGCAGTTTTTATGCATGAGCTGGGGGCTTACAATAACTGTCCTTTACATTCCCACAATACTGCGGTACAAACAATGAGCAAAAGCATGACTAAAATCTAACATATGCTGCGCTTGTAACGCACAGTGAGCATAACTTTTGAATTGAAGCGCGCAGCACCTATACAAATTATCGATAGCCGCTCCTAGGGTTTTGCAACACTTTTTTTAGTGTACCTAAGCAACAATCGAGTTTAATCGAAACTGGCACTTGGCTCAGCTGTTTGGAAGAAGCAGCACAACCTTTTGCAACGAATTTTTTTTGCTAACAAAATCATTAAGAGACAAGAACATGGCTGGACGTGAAGCCGTCAAACGTGCCGTGCAACAAGTGCGTCCCATATTGTCCGTGGACAGAGAAGAAGCACGCAAACGTGCTCTTAATCTGTACAAGGCATGGTACCGTCAGATTCCTTATATTGGTAAGTCCGTTTGTTATGTCATCAAACTGTCCCGGCGGCTACCAAAAATAAACAATATTCTTTTTGCGAACAGTTATGGATTACGATATTCCTATGAGCATCGAGCAGTGCCGATCCAAATTGCGCGAGGAGTTCGTCAAGCATCGTCAAGTGACTGACATTCGTGTGATCGACATGCTGGTCATCAAGGTGAGTCTTCCTCAGATGATGATCGCTGTCCTTAATTTATGATTGTTTGCCTAATCAAATACAGGGCCAAATGGAGCTAAAGGAGACTGTGGAGATCTGGAAGCAAAAGGGGCACATAATGCGCTATTGGAAGGAATCGCAGGATCCCAAACCAACAGATTTTCTCTCAAAGTTTATTCAGGGCGTTAATTAGTAAATAAATCGAGCACTGTGCAAATGCTTACTAAAATTGAAATAGTTTAAATACGAAGATTAAAATGTTTCGCACGAAAAGAATATCTAATTAATCCGGATTTTTGGGAGCGCTTTCGAAGCACTTGATTTGTTGTTTATTTACTTCAAAATATCTATGAACAAACTATTGTGTGTGTATACCCTACTTTCAAGGGTATGTGGAATTGGTGAATTGGTTTTGGGTAAACGAAATACAATTTAAAATCGGAGCTAGATTGTGCAAGGTATGCTTTGTGATAACGGCTTTTGATTGTTACTGCATGATGAATGGTTTTATTGATTGATAGGTGCAAACAGTCTTCCAGTTCTCGTTAGCTATTCATCGCTGATCCTTAAAATTCTATACAGGTAAATGTATCCGTTGCCCTTCATGCTTCATGGCACCAATTCAAGCAGATTGTCCAGCGCGTTAATGGAATTCGAAAAGAGATCGGTTGTAATATCATCGTAGTCCAAGCCCATGCTTTTAAGCTCTGCAAAACATTCATCACTGAAGCCTGGTATTTCCAATGAGTTGTTACTCTTGCTGAATGCATCATGTCGATTAGTATAGCCAATGCGTTCTCTAAACATTTCGGCCAGCTGCTCATCCGTTAGCTCCACCGCATGCATCTTCTTGGAATGTTGACGTATCCTTAAATACAAAACGTTTAAATATCTCTTATATTTTCATGTAAAATCAGCACACTTACTTGCCACGATCAGCAAACTCTTCGGGGCAGTGCTGGCACTTGTATGGATAGTCTGTATGCTCGTATTGATGTTGTCGCAGACGCGCCCGTGAATTGGTCTCGAAGTTGCAATTGTCGCAGCGCCAAATCTTTGACTTCTGATGATTACGCTGCTCATGTTCACGCAGTAAGGCAAAATTTTGAAATTTACTGTCACAAATGCGACAGCTGACCACCTCTTCCTCCTGCACGTGGGCACGTTCATAATGCACACGCAGCTCGGCCGCATTGATGTAGTTAAGCGAACACTTCGCACACTGATAGTGCCGCTCTGAATGCCGCTTGCGATGCACCGACAGCGATTCGCTGTTCTTAAAGCTCTTTAAGCATATTTCACATTCGTGCAAGGTATCCACTGCATGCTGTTGCTGCAAATGCAACTCGTATTTGCGCATGCTGCTAAATTGTTGCTCACAAAAATTGCAGTGCACAGGCTGCTTCACCTGGCAGAAGCGCTGATGCGCCTGCAGACTGCTCTTCAAGTTGAACACCTTGTCGCAGGCGGTGCATATAA